CCCCCCCCCCCCCCCGGAGCACATATCCAAAAATAAGAACAATTCAAATTCTCTGTGGAAAACCATCCGCAGCTGTTTACCCAAAACATCAAGAAATGCCAAAACCTACAGTAAAGATGATCAAACAACTGCCGAAGAGTTAATTTGGAAAGAGCACTGTTAAGAACATTAACGACTTGGCCGTTAATCTTAACTATGATCAGTGCAGTGCTAACTTTGAACCCCAAACGTATGCCATTGAGGAACAGTTCACCGTTGACGCCATCAAAGAAAAAGATGACAAAGATGTAGAATCCATTATCAAGGGCATGACAATCAATAAAGCTCCTGTATATGATAAGATGCCTGTAAGGGTCATCAAGGATAGCCTACCAGCTATTTTGCAAGCTGTAATAACCCTCATAAATTCCTCCTTCGAGACAAATGTTGTCCCGAATAAATGGAAAATCGCAGTACTTCTCATTCATAAGGACGGCGATCACGAGTTGCCTATGAACAATAGGCCCAACTCGTTGTTACCCTTACTGTCCAAGATTTGTGAAAGAGCTGCCCAAAAGATGACCAAATTACAGCATACCTACAAACAAATAATAGGATGTCTAGTAGTCAAAGTGAATGCAGAGAATATCACTCAACTGAGACCTCTGTATTATTCACTACAGATAACATCCTTCAGTCCATCGATAACAAAAAACTGACTGCAGTCGTGCTGTTAGATACATGTATCATTATGAGCAAGGCTTTTGATTCAATAAACCACCAGAGATTGCTACTAACATTACAACACGTCGGAGCCTCGCCTATTGTAATAACTTGGATGCTCAGTTATTTGTCAAATCTCTTTCCCAACCATTACGAGTAGAATACGGAGTGCCTCAAGGAAGTATTCTTGGTTGCCTATTATTTAACGTCTTTAACAAAGATCTACCTTTTTGTCCAAAAGATCAATCTGATGACACGACGAAGATCATTGGTGCCTTACGGGGAGTCCAAGATTGGTGCCTGGAGAATCAACTCTTACTGAATCCTGATAAAACTAAACTACTCTTATTTGGGAGCCGTCAGATGCTTGCAAAAGTAGATAATTTCCAAGTTTCTCTTATGGCAAAGCCACTAACTCCATCTCATGCAGCAAAAGACCTTGGGGTATTTCTGGACAGCAATTTGACATGTTTAATGAACATATAACACAAACAGCGTCAGATCTCGTATGGCACGCTTGGGACAAATTACAGTAATAGAGTGAAACATTGTTTGGATAGAGAAACACTGATCATTTAATTAATGCTCTAGTTTTTAGTAAACCTTTTTATTGTTCGTCAGTCTGGAGTAATACGGACAGAAACTAATCTCAATTAGATTCAGGCTGTGCAAAATTTTGCTTGTAGGATTGTTTCAGGGCCAAATACTTATGATCACATCTCACCGACAGGGCAAAAAAACGGTGTGCCCGCTTCTTTCACGATTTTTTTTAAAACTGAGTTTAATACTCCAAATTTTTAAGCGTTTCATTTGTGTCACTGCTGCTCGAAACTTGTGACGAAATTTTGTCGAATTAGAGTAAATCTACTTATTAGTATTCACGAAAATGTCACAGTCAGTTTTTCTGCTGATCAAAATATCACCTCTCCCAAAGCACACGGCTTTATATCTCAAATACGCATTTAATAGATTTTGGTCGCATTTGATTTTTTGCTATTTGGCTCCAAAAGAACGTGTTCATAAAATATTGAGCTTAAATACGTAAAGCTGTCCTTATGGCGAAATGCCAAAAACCATTTTTCTGCCCTGTCACTCTCACCTATACTAGAACGTAGATGGTTGCCAATTAGAAAGCAACTATATCTTAGGAAAGCTACTCTAGTTTTTAAGCGCATGAACAGAATAGCCCCAGGAGTTACTTAGCAGACAAGTTTTTCAAAAGATGTAGCATCTCTAGCCGTCAAACTAGGAGTTCTCAGATGTTAAATATTTTCCGCTCCTTAAGACAACCACAGGTCAACGTTCCTTTTATTATCAAGGAGTTAAGCTTTCGGGAACGATTTCAGCGATAGGCTTAAACTTTGTAAACATGTGCAGTCTTTTAAGCATGCAATGCGAAAAAATCTTTTAAAGGAGGTATGGGTACAGGCTTGATAATTGTAATTCTCTTCTATATGGTTTACCTAATGCTCAAATTGATAAATTACAATATGTTTTGAACTCTGCTGCTCGTCTTGTAACTCTCTCCAAGAAGTATAATCACATCACTCCTGTCCTTTGTTCTCTGCATTGGCTTCCTGTGAAACATCGCATCAATTTYAAGATTCTACTCCTCACTTTCAAAGCACTTCATGGTCTGGCTCCTGTCTACTTGTCTGATCTCATAACTGTGTATAAACCTAAAAGAACTCTCCGCTCATCCAAGGAACTGCTTCTTGTTACTTGTCCGTACAATCTTAAATCTTATGGTTATCGTTGTTTTTCTGTGTCTGCTCCTGTTCTATGGAATTCACTACCGTCTCCTCTTAGAAACACTTCATGTCTAAAAACTTTTAAGAAAGACCTTAAGACTCATTTGTTTAAACTAGCTTTTGAATCATAATTCATATATATTTTACAGCGCTTAGAGCCGACTTGTATAGGCGCTATATAAATCATATTATATTATTATTTATTATTACAGGGCGTTTTCCCATGCAGCCCCTGAGTTGTGGAGCTCCCTCCCATGAACATTAGAGCCTGTGATTCTCTATCAGGTTTTAAGAAAGATCTTAAATCTTGGCTCTCCCGGCAAGCGTACGATAACCATCTTAGCTAATTATCATTACCAGTTGACTGTGGAAGAGCCTAATGACGTAACGTGCATCCGAAAAATACGTGTTAATGATAAATTGGGTTACCTGTGAAAAATGGCAAAAACCGGAAGTGTCAAGTGAACAGGGGTTTGCAAGGGTTGATGGTACTTCCGGTTGTCTGTCATTCGTTGGTTTGCTCATTTCAGTTGGCGGGACTACTGTACTAGTATAACTAGAAGATTGAAATTATACAAGGACATATTTTGCTAATATTCTAAAGGTAATGTAGCTGTGAGTACTTTACATGTCTTGGGTGTATAATTATTGGTTGTTCAGCAAACATATCAATCTATACGTTATTAAGCTTACAGAAAACTGCTGTTCCCAAAATGATCTAGATGCACTTCGATCGAGCATCCATATCTTTCTTCTTTTCCCTAATATCTAGTAATAAGAAGTCAGGAGCGATTTTTTAATACTTAATACTGGGGGCTTGGGACTTTATTTTATTTTCCTACGACACGAAACCGTACTAGTATTGTTTTAGCTGGTAATCCTCTTGTGCATATTGGTAAATGAAATGCAAGATGAGTTTAAAGATGGTAAAGTTACACTATGTTTTGAAATGGAGTGACTTCCTTACGACTTTAAAAGCTTTAAAATCTTGCTTTCACAATCTTATGAGCTGTTCAAGCATATCACTTGTATAAGAAGTCCTACCGTATCAGCTCAGCCGTCGTCTTTCTGAGTTTTATTCCTGTATAATTCGTTTCAAACAATAGTCATATTATCAAAGGTTGGGTGTGGTAACATTCATTGATTGTTAGAATGCCTCTTTTGTTTCATTTTCTATTTGATATTTCTGTATTTAAAATGATAAAAACACAATCACATCGTATAAAGAAATGTTTGGATACCAGCAAAAGGAATAGGATGTTGATCAGAGAAGCATTATAATTAGATTTAATATTATGGTACAGTTTATTTGAATATATAGATTATACTATTATAGTACAGTTTATACATTGCTGCTATTCTTTCAAGACCATGTTCATGGTGGTATTTAACAAAAGACTCCTTAGTAGCATCTATAATTTGTCAGCATCACCAATATGGCTGTCATGCATGTCTTTGTTACATTGTTGACTCTCATGGGAATACTTGCAATCCATTAATATAGATATCCAATGTGAACCCATACACAAGGGTTACTTTTTGTTTAATTTAACACATATCTTATACAAGGTCAAAGTAAATATTGATTTTATTGATATTATAACTATAAGTTTCCCAAAAGAGAAAGACTTGGGCATATAATTATGGTTGCTGGGAAACCATAGCTCTGGTTATAACTAGTACATGCTTTTTCCTCGTTACGAGCAAGTTTTCAATCTGCCCACACTGTGAAGTTTTTAAAGTGCCTTTCTGATATACCTTTTGATTCATGGCATCTTATCTCTTGACCACCAAATAGTTTTTTATATGAAATTAAAACTGACACTTTTTTTAAGCCAAAATATTATTTTACATAAATTGCGTTAAGGTAGCTTTGTTTGAACTTGTAAGAATACTTTTTGATATGAAGTATAAATCAAATCATTCTTTTATGCAGATACTATATGGTTACTAATTAATTTGTTATTTAAAGATTTGCATCATATTTATATTTTGATGTGGTATCAGTTAAATGTTTTCTTTTTTGGTGAATGTCATGAGCATATATGACAGTTTCAACCAATAATTGATCAAGTATGTTACTCAATGTTTAATAACACATGCATGATTGTCTGGTTTATCTGATATTAATAATATGTTTAGATCTGCAGTGTTGATTATGAAATAAGAAATCTTCAAAGATAATTGCTTGTGTAGACACAGATAGATTGGGTGATCAGCCCCATTGGTTCAAACAAGAAAACATCTTTGACGATTAGGCCATATCATGTTGGTGTGAAAGTGAAATATGAAATTATGGTGCTTTTGAGTTCTACTTTTCAATGTAGCACATGTTGGTTAAGAGCACATTTTTTTGATCTAATTGAAACTAAACTTTAAAGCTTCTGAAATCCTAAGGAAATAATGACTTCTTTTGAAAGTCTTTCAGCTTTGAAGGTATAAAATGAATAGTGGAACATATTTTGATTAATGATACTGAAGCCATAGATTCAAATCTTGGTTACAATGTTTCTTTTACTCAGAGCTTTGATGTGTTCTCTTTCATATGTACCACTTCATTGGTCATGTCAATCTACCATATATATATATATATAATATATTCCTAAATAATACTGCAGCTTAGCTTTTTAAATTTGTTTTTATTTGTCAGGAACAACTGCTAAACATGGCTGATTATGTGGGGTTTGCAAACTTACCAAATCAGGTTCATCGTAAATCTGTGAAGAAGGGATTTGAGTTTACTTTGATGGTTGTAGGTAAGCTAAGATAATGTAATGTGTATGCAAATGCTATTTTAGGTATACATTCTAATTAATGCAATAGTTATTAGGTATATAAAGGTGATTATCGAAAATCTCATGCGCTGATTGGTCATGAAACTCACACTATCACACGATAATCACATCCAGCGATAACCCAAAATGGTGGTCAGCGGCTTTGTTGCTGTTACTGGAAAAAACGTTTTTTGAAAGAATCACCTGTGTATTTAAATAATAAAACAATTATTTGCCTCAGCTTCAGTGAATATAGGAGAATATTTACCTCGCCGCTTGAAGACTCATGTAAATATTCTCCGATATTCACTCCACCTTTGGTGAATAATTGCTAATTATAAATAAATAAATATATATATATTAATCAAATGTATAATAATAATATCTAATATTATAAAATAAATTAAATAGTACGCACGCTGTGATTGGTTGATAGCCATGTTTGCATGAGGGTATGTAAACACAGTTGTGACGTCACAACTTTCGTGTTTTCCCGGTACAAGTTCAAAAATTAAAAATTTACACTTTCTTTTGAGGAAAAAAACGCCCCCAAAAAAGTATTTCGAAGACGAAGTTCCAAATTTTGACTTGTGTCAGGGCCACAGGCATAACCCTATGGTCTCATGCAGGTCTTTCTGATCGTAATATCATGACAATCTCTCGTTGGTCACCGCAAAGAGAATTCCCTCAGGAGCTACAACACACGTCCTCCGTCAGGACAGCTGTGGTTGTTCAGCGACGTGCTTTCTCATGATTTAAATGCACCGCCCGATAAAGAATACAAGTATTTCAAGGAAACAGTCAGCAGCTTCAAACTTTTTCCAGCGATAGCTCTTCAGCTCCACAAAATATCTTCTCGAGGCAAGACGAAACAATCAACTTCTCTGCCATGTTTTCTCACTGTCAAATTGAGCAAAACCACGTTTCTTTCAACCGAGAATTCCATTCACAGTGACACTTGTTATCCACTTTTGATCACTTTCGTAAAGATAATCAATTCTGAAATCTTTTATTAAGATTTCTATTCAATCTTTGGACATTTCTTTGTATTTGTTTTAAAGTTTTAGAATGATAAATGTTTAAAATAGCTAGCGATTCTTTCTCGCTTCACATTTACCTCCTTGGCGTTTATTACACAAAATTTGATTGGCTAACGATCGAAGTTCGTGATGTATGGAGAATTTGTATTTTGATATGAGAATCAAATTCAAATAAAGATTTATTTTCTTGCAAGTGGTAATGTTTTCCCTTAGTATTTACTTTATAAAAGCAATAGAAAACTTTTTTCTCTGTGTTTACATAGCCTGATAGCAACACTCGGGGGGTTGGGWGAATTCTCGACAGTTATGCAAACCCTCGACTACGTCTCGGGTTTGTATAACTGTCTCGAATTCTCCCAACCTCCCCTCGTGTTGCTATCAGGCTATGTAAACACGGAAAAAGTTTTCTATTGCTTAAATATAATAAACTTTATTTTCATTGAGAGAGTGACAATGCAACAGTTGACACTGAATATCTACTGTCTGCTTTAGTTGAAAACAGGGAACACCATACATGTAATATTTTCTTTTCATGGTATTGTTTGAAAATCTTCTGGTTTGTTTTCATTTAATAGGAGAGTCTGGCCTTGGCAAGTCCACCTTGATTGACAGCTTGTTTTTAACTGATTTGTATTCAGACAGAATTTTACCCAAAGCTGAAGGTATGAATGATCAAATTCCAACATTCAGGAGCAATTTAAAATTTTGTAAAATAGTCACAGAACTTTAATAAAACGTTACTTAGCATACTCATACACAAAAAATAACGATATCATTGTGATAAAACACAGAGAGAATCAAGAAAACTGTGAAGATCGAGACATCAACTGTAGAAATAGAAGAAAGAGGAGTAAAGCTAAGATTAACTGTGGTAGACACCCCTGGATATGGTGATGGGATGGACAATAAGGACTGGTAAATTATTTATGCAATTCCTTAAATTTATTTTATTTTTCTAATTCACTTTTGAATCCATTCATCAATATTTTTCATCTAGTTATCCATTTACATTGTCTGTCCATTCATTGTTGCAAATGCACATCTCTTCCTTCTTTCCTGCATCCTTAGAACAAACAGTCAAATTACTGAAGTTATATTATGGCAAATAATGTGATATTTTGAATTTTTCTTTATCTAGTTTTAAACCAATCTCAGATTACATCAACCTGCAGTTTGAAAACTACCTTCATGATGAATCTGGTCTTAATCGGCGACACATTGTTGATACTCGCGTTCATTGTTGTTTTTACTTCATATCACCAACAGGACATGGGTATGTGTGAACAACTTTTGATACATCCCTCCCTGTTCATTAATACATCTCTCCCTGGTCATTGATACATCCCTCCCTGGTCATTGATACATCCCTCCCTGTTTATTGATACATCCCTCCCTGTTTATTGATACATGACCCTCCCTGTTCATTGATACATCCCTCCCTGGTCATTGATACATCCCTCCCTGGTCATTGATACATCCCTCCCTGGTCATTGATACATCCTTCCCTGGTCATTGATACATCCCTCCCTGGTCATTGATACATGACCCTCCCTGTTTATTGATACATGACCCTCCCTGGTCATTGATACATCTCTCCCTGGTCATTGATACATCCCTCCCTGGTCATTGATACATC